CTCTCTCTCTCCTTATATATATATATATATATATATATATATATATATATATATATAATATATATATATATATACTATATATGTATATATATATATATATATATATATATATATATATATATATATATGTTATATATATATAATATATACTATATATATATATATATATATATATATATATATATATATATAATATATATACGTGATATGTATGTGTATATATGTATATTGTCTGTATTTGTGTTTACGCTTGTGTATGCGTACGTAAAGGTATTTATGTGTTTATCCGTATTTAATTAGTGTTATGTAGGTTACGCATGTATGGTCGTCACCGTCAATAAAAGTGGGCGGACCTGGTCAGCAGTAGTCAGCGGTATAATATTATTTACGGCAGGAAGTATATAGGTGAATAGCGACGTAGATGCACGTACACAGTTGCGGTATGTCGTTATATGAGTATATGTATAGTATTATTGATATTAGTACATATATCTATATTTATATTTATATGTTATATATATATATATATATGTTATAGTTATAGCTGCGATACGTGTACTAAAGATATGTGACGAGCGACAAGTACGTTGGACTGGTCGATTAGTGGTAGGTAGTAGGAACCGATGTCTCCGGAACAGCGGATAGAGTATAATGATGTCAGTGGCTGCGCGTAGTGAGATGAGGGTGTAATTATCAATTGAGATTAAGTTACGTACGGGTGCGACTGTTCTAGCAACGAATCAGGTGCTCAGAGCGGATCTGCGATGTCGTGCAGATGAGTGTAGGTGGCTCAGAAATGCTCAGTCGAGACCCGTGGGATGTCGGTTTACCGATATATGCTGATACGAGGGGCGTCGCTGACAGAAGGTAGTTATGACGTTAGCACGTGTGCTCAGCTCTGCACAGGAGAGCACTAGACGGATGTAGGTAGGTCAGAAGATGGCTACGTAGGGTCTTATGTAATACGGAGAGTAGAATATTTAGTACCATCAAGATACGGATACTACGATGCACAATGTATCGGTTCACCACGGTATTATAAGGTGAGCGTACTGTAGTAGTTTCTATATGAGAGTGTTATTAGTATATAGTATTTTATTATTGATATACGTGTATTTATTATTTATTTATTTAATTATTAGTAGGTGTGTCTGGTTTAAGTGGTTATAGTTATATAGAGTGTATTCATTATATTATATATTATTTTTTTGAATTATTTGAGGTTTACTGATATTTATATACAGTATTATATTATTTTGTGTATAGTATATATGTATACATATATATATATTATATATCAGGTAGAGTCGTTCGAAGTTAGGACGCAGTCGCTTGGACGTCAAGTCGATACGGTATACGCTGAGACTACGTCATATTTGGCAGACCCACAGAGAAGACAGCATAGCAGAATAGGTTTATGCAGCAGGTGTCATGGCTTAGACACGATGAGTAGCATTGGGTCGAGGGTGTACGAGCAGGACAAGATGCAGTACATACACTGCGCATGCCGGAGATATGACAGTAATGACAGTCTGCGCTTATTTATCAGAACTGACGGAGCGGGTATAAGATTGAGTATTCGCGGGAGACTAGAGGGGACCTCTGTGAGACTGCGGCGTGTTGTATGTAATTATGCATATTATAGTCTCAATTTATATATATACTATTTGGGTGTGTAGTGTAGCTGTTTGAGTGTTATTATAGGTGTATGTATAGTTTAGTGTGTGTGTGTATAGTGTGTGTGTGTGTTATGTAATTTTTATATATTATAAGTTTATATTTATATGTGTATACTTTTATATTTACATAATATATATTATTATATATATATGTAATATATTATATATTATTATATTGTATTAATATAGAATTATATTATATATATATATATATATTTATATTGTGTGTACTTGTATATATGTATACGTTATGTGATAGTATAATGTGTGGTGTGTGTGTGTGTGTTTGTGTGTGTTTGTGTGTTTATCCGTATTTAATTAGTGTTATGTTAGGTTCACGCATGTATGGTCCGCACCGTCAATAAAAGTGGGCGGAGCCAGCGACATGACGGACACCCGAGACAACAAAGTCCAATAACGTGTGTTGCAAGCGCATACCCTCCCCCCTCCCCCCTCCCCCACCACGACCAAAGAGTAAAAATAGAAAATGGGATAAAAAAAAAAAAAAAAAAACAGCAAGAGCGTGTATGCGTGTTTTGGGAAATTTTGAAATACTCAGTTACATTATTTCTTGTCGTTTCTTATCCGTCGTCCTTTGTTCTCTCTCTCTATCTATCTTATCCCACGGTCGTTAGTTATATCTATTCCGCTGATTGATATCTATATCTCTTCAATCTTTTTTACCGTTCCATTCTTTCTCTGGAAAAAAAAAAAAATAGATCTAGCGTTCTAAAAAAAAAGGGAAAATGATCCTATTATTTCAAACTTTGATGCGATTAATGGGACAGGGGGCGTGGGTGGCTGGGGGAGAGGGGGGGGGTGTCAGTCCTAATGGGCGTGAAATGGAGAGATGAGGATAATGGGGCTGCGATCAAATGCATTTTCTTCCTTTTTCTTATCTTCTCTTTCTCTCTTTGGGCTGGGGGGAAGAAAGGTAAGAGGAAGATTAAAACTTAAAAATGATCATGCACGAAAGAAAAAGAGAGAGGAGAGAGGGAAGGAAGGTGAGAGAGAGAGAGAGGGAGGGAAAATAGAAAGAGAGGAGGAGAAAGAGAGAGATAGAGAGGGAGGGAAAAAAGAGAAAGAGGAGGGAGAAAGAGAGAGAGGGGGGGGAGGAAGGAAGGGAGAGAAAGAAAGAGTGAGAGAAAAAGAGCGGGGGAGGCAGAGAGAGCGAAAGAGAGCGAGAGAGAGATAAAGAGAAAGAACCAATCTCTCCTTTCTTTATGCGTGTGTCTGTGGGTGTTTTAACTCCGCGATCAGAATGCGATGCGTGTAAATTTTCTCCAGATGAAGAGACCGCCTCTTGCATAATCTACGGCGAAGACTCCATGACTCCTACAGGACTTTTACAAGCTCCGGGAGAACGAAGACTTCCGGCGAAAGGTCAAAGGTCAGCGTTGTAGGGGGAGGATCCGGTCTTCAGGAAAGGTACATTCCTTATTAGGGAAAGAGAAAGAAAGAGGGAGAGGGATGATTTGAATAATAATAAGAAGAACGGATTATGGACTAAATTTATATGGGTTGGGTGTAGAAACTAACTGTAGGGGACGAGTAGTAAAAGCAGAATATAATAGTGAGATCCAGTCTAGAGAAACAGCTGTGCACAAAAAGACAATGAACGTAAAATAACATTAAGAAACAGGAAATGAAGATTACGGAGGGATATATATCCATAAATCAAGACAAGGATAAACGTGTAAACAGGAAAAAATGCAGTAAAATAGCTTAAAATGTATTAGTTGTTATAATATATGAAGGGTAACATTAACATGATAAAGAAAATACAAAGACAACAACGACAAAATCTTGACAAGAACAAAGCTAAAATCTCGAAAGAAGTTCACTTCCATCTTTCCCTCTTCCTCTTTGGGAAGAGAAGAGAAAACCTCATTGTTTGGCCAATTTCCCAGTCAATTTCCAAAAAGGAAAGAAGGAAATGAAGAAGGGAGGGGAAAAAATGGGAGATGAAACGAAAGAGAACCACAAGGAAACGGGAGAAATGTTGTTGATGAGCTGGATTTCCTCTCAAGAAATATGTCTTATACGGCTGGGAATGTGACTCGACTTAATGTTCATCTTGCAATGGACTCTCTCTTCGCGTTGCATGTTGCTCTGGTCGCCTCTGTGGTGCACGCTGGCTGATGGCGGCCCTTTCTGGGGGTGCGCGCGTCTGAGTGTGTGCAGAGGGGGGGGGGGTTGTGTGTCTGTGTTTGTGTGCGGGGGGGTTGTGTGTGTGTATGTGTGTGTGGGGGGGGGGTTGTGTGTGTGTGTGTGTGTGTGTTTTGTCCGTGGGTACGAGTCTGCGTGCATGTGTGAGAGAGAAGGAGGAGGGTGAGAGAGAGGGATAAAGGGAGAGAGATAGATAGAGAGAGAAGGAGAAAGAAATGGACGGAGGAGGAAGGGGGGGGGGAGATATACATAGACAATGATTCCATATCGGTTTGATAGTATGTAGATATGTTAATGTATGCATATCTGATCATATGCATATTTATGTGCGTGCATGTATATGTACACACACACACACACACACACACACACACACACACACACACACAACACATATATATACTATATATATATATATTATATATATATATATATATATATATATATATATATATATATATATATATATATATATATATATATATATATATATATATATATATATATATATTCATATTGCATGCGTGTGTGTCTGCACAAGTACACGTGCACGAGGACCGCCGCAGGGACCGGGAATCGCAGTCTCATCCGCCGCAGTCCAATACATCCCAAAACACAACAATAACGACAACATCGCCAACAATTACAACAGGAACAACAATACCTCTTTCCCAAGACATGCAGACAGATACAAAGACACACACACACACAGGCACAAGACACACAAAACAGACATACAGACGCACGAGAAACGACAAACACTCAAAAGACACGAAACACGCACACGCAGACACACAAACACCCAGACACACAAATTCGACACCGAGAAACAAAGAAACACTCAGACAAACACAAAAAACGACCGAGTTAGACACGCCAGGACACTAACCCGGACACCAAGCCCCGCGCAGAGACCCTCAACCGGACAACCGGACACGTCCAGGAGGCCCACCTGTGCGTGTGTTGGAGGTTCCTCGAGGATGGCTTCCAGGTATCGATCTGACCACACCTTTCGCGTTGAACCCTGGTCGACGACGCTGCCGCTGATGGACGGGTTCATGGCATATGTTGCAGGCGGACACGGGGACGCACACACGCCTTACACGCATGTACGCATATGCGAGTACAAATACATGTCTGTATGGATACAAAATGCGTGCACCTATATGCAGATATGAGCGCAGAAACGTGTACGCATACTGTTTGTATGAATTACATATACAAGCAGGTAGATATATGCTTGTACACGAAGCCACACACAATACAGTGATACGCACATACGTATTCGTATTCGTATACTGAATCTTAAAAAAAAAAATCGAACAAGGATTTAATTCCGAAAAATTAAACCTGGAAATGTTTTTGCTTCTCCTGTCATTATCACCACCTTCTGTCATCACTATCTCCGTCTCCTATCACCATCATCACCATCTTCTATCCTCCTCATCATTGCATTCTATCATCTTCTTACACCATTTTCTAATCTTCATTATCGACATTTTCTATCGTCGTCATCGCTACTTCTATTATCAGCACTATTATAAAATGTCACATGAATAAGACATCCCAAATTATATTTATCAAATAAGTATAAAAAGTATTAGATAAATAATTAAATATAAGATCGATAAATGTATAAACAAGTGGATATATTAATAATATATAAAATTAGAACAAACGTCTCAAGAAATAACAAGACGTAACAAGGAAAAAAAAATTGCGCAAAAATTTCCGCGTCGAAAATTGTCTAACGAACCCAACCTGTGTTGCATCGACCAGCGACTTTATTGCAAAGCCAGTTGTCTTTTGAGCGAATTTCTCCTCTCCAACCCCTGTCGTCTTGGGTGCATCACTCGGCCACACAAGAGGCTAAATCAAACAGACAAACACAAACAGAAGTGGAACAAATACACTTGTCTATCACCCTGGTCGCTTCTTCGCCGCCTCCATAGCAGCTTCTTTTCTGAAATATCCTAATATTAGAGAGAGAGAGAGAGAGAGGGAAGAGAGAGAGAGAGAGAGAGAGAGAGAGAGAGACGGAGAGAGAGAGAGAGAGAGAGAGAGAGAGAGAGAGAGAGAGAGAAGAGAGAGAGAGAGAGAAAGAGAGAGAGAGAGAGAGAGAGACACTGAGAGATAGATAGATAGAGAGAGAGAGAGAGAGATAGGGGAGGAAAGAGAATTTCAGTGGAGAATAAAGGAGAATAAAGTGAAAGAGAGAGAGAGAGATAGACTGAAAGATAGATAGAAAGAGACAGAAAGAGAGAGAGAAAAAGAGAGACAGAGAGAGAGAGGCAGACAGACAGAGATAGAGAGAGAGAATGGGAAAAGAAAAAAAGATGGTAGGAGAGAGGGAAAACCCTAAAACAAAGAACAAATCAGGGAAAAATGGGGTGAAAGCAATTATCCAGGCATGTGTTTTCCCTTCCTGTGGACGAGGATGATATTTTGTTTCCACCCCACCCCTCCCCTCTTTTTTTTTTTTTTTTTTTTTTTTTTTTTTTTTTTTTTTTTTTTTTGAAAGCCAGTCCACTGATTGCTCGTGATCGGTTGTCCTGTCGGGGAGGCACTCCAGGTGGGAGATCTGACCTTTTTTCCTTTCTTTTTTTCTTTTTTCTTTCTTTTTTTTATATTATTTTGACTTTTTTTTTCCTTTTTTGTTATCTTTTTTTTCTTTCATTTTTTTTCCGTTTCTTTTTTCTCTTTTTTTTTTTCTTTCATTTTTTTCTGTTTCTCTTTTTGTCTCTTTTTTTTTCTTTTTCTTTCATTTTTTTTTTCTGTTTTGGGAGGAGGGAGAGGGGAGGGGGAGGGAAGAAGGGGAAGAAAGGGAACAGAAGGAAAAAAGGGGAGAGGGAGGGAAGAACGTGAAGGAAGGGAATAGAAGGAAAAAGGGGAGAGAGAAGGAAAAACGTGAAGGAAGGGGGAGGAGGGAGAAAATAGGGGGAGTGGGGAACGAGGATAAAAGGGGAGAGGGCTCCAGGGCGTAAAAATGGTGGAGAAAGGAAAAAGAAAATAATGGGTATAGCGGGGATAGGGGATTTCAGGGGAGAATAGAAGGACTGACAGGGAAGGAAAGAGGGTTTCAGGGGAGAATGAAGGAGCATTGAAAGGGGGGAAAGAGAATTGAAAGGGGAGAATAAAGGAGGATTGAAAGGGTAAGGAAAGAGGATTTCAGGGGAGAATGAGGGAGGATTAACAGGGAAAGAGAGAGGATTAAAGGGGAAGAATAAAGGGGGATTGAATGGGGAGGAAAGAGGATTTCAGGGGAGAATGAAGGAGGATAGACAGGGAAAGAGAGAGGATTAAAAGGGAAGAATAAAGAGGGATTGAATGGGGAGGAAAGAGGATTTCAGGGGAGAATAAAGGGGGATTGAAAGGGGAGGAAAAAGGATTGAAAGAGGGAGAATAGAGAAGGATTGAAAGGGCAGAATAAAGGGGAACTGAAAGGGGAGAATAAGACAGGATTTCAGGGGAGGAAAGAAGATTTCAGGGGAAGAATAAAGGAAGATTGAAAGGGGAGGAAAGAGAATTGAAAGGGGAGAATAAAGGAGCATTGAAAGGGGAAGGAAAGAGGATTTCAGGGGAGAATGAAGGAGGATTGACAGGGAAAGAGAGAGGATTAAAAGGGAAGAATAAAGGGGAATTGAATGGGGAGGAAAGAGGATTTCAGGGGAGAATAAAGGGGGATTGAAAGGGGAGGAAAAAGGATTGAAAGAGGGAGAATAGAGAAGGATTGAAAGGGCAGAATAAAGGGGGACTGAAAGGGGAGAATAAGGCAGGATTTCAGGGGAGGAAAGAAGATTTCAGTGGAACAATAAAGGAAGATTGAAAGGGGAGGAAAGAGAATTGAAAGGGGAGAATAAAGGAGGATAGAAAGGGGAAGAAAAGAGGATTTCAGGGGAGAGTGAAGGAGGATTGACGGGGAAAGAGAGAGGATTAAAAGGGAAGAATAAAGGGGGATTGAAAGGGGAGGAAAAAGGATTGAAAGAGTTAGAATAAGGGAGGACTTCAGGGGAGGAAAGAGGATCTTAGGGGAGAATAAAGGTTTGAAAGGGGAGAATAAAGGAGGATTGAAAGGGAAGAATAAAGGGGGATTGAAAAGGGAGGAAAGAGGATTGAAAGGGAAGAATAAAGGGGGATTGAAAAGGAGAATAAAGGAGGATTGACAGGAAGGAGAGTGGATAGAAAGGGAGAATAAAGGAAGATTGAAAGGGGAGGAGAGGATTGAAAGGGGAGAATAAAGGAGGATTGAAAGGGAAGAACAAAGGAGGATTGAAAGGGGAGAATAAAGGAGGTGACAGGGAAGAGAGAGAGGGGGGTGGGGGTTCATAGGGTGATAGGGTTTAGAAAGGTTTGAGAAGGGTCGAGGGAGTGGGAGGAGGAAGGGAGGAAGGAAGGAAGGAGGAAGGGGAAGAAAGTCCATGAATCAGGAGCGAGTGATGTGTGTGTGTGTGTTCCTTTGCTTGTTTTTTTGTTTGGAGGTGTTTGTGCGTTAATATTATATCTTTGTCTGTACTATTTTTCGCAAATCGTGTTTTAAAAAAATTAATAAAATGTTTCGCAAATTCCAAAACAGATGATCGCTTAATAAATATGAAAAGAAAGAGGTTCAATCAAAAACCGTTAAATAAAAAAACAAAAAAACTCCAACACAAAAGCGCGGAAAACCAAAAGCCAAAGTTACGTTAGTTTGAAGTTACTGATCTAATCAATTCGTCGACTCAGCTGTTCGTTTCGCCTCGCCGTTCTGCCCAAAAAATGGTCGTTTTATTTGACAATAACGAGGCTATTGCGTTCTCTCTCTCTCTCTCTCTCTCTCTCTCTCTCTCTCTCTCTCTCTCTCTCTCTCTCTCTCTCTCTCTCTCTCTCTCTCTCCTCTCTCTCTCTCTCTCTCTCTCTCTCTCTCTCTCTCTCTCTCTCTCTCTCTCTCTCTTCTCTCTCTCTCTCTCTCTCTCTCTCTCTCTCTCTCTCTCTCTCTCTCTCTCTCTCTCTCTCTCTTTCCTAGACCGTAGCCAATAACAATTGTCGATGACGCAGCGTCGGGTAAACGGCCTATTGTTTACGTTTTCTTCAATGCCGTTTTAGGGCTAACTCTTTTAGGGGTAACTTTTTTTTTTGCGGGTCTAGGCCACTTACGGTTGATGGAATGTTTCCGGTTCGGTGTGTGAAAGAACCATGTGTGTATGTGTATGCGTATATATGTATGTATAAGTATATATATACATATACATATAAACATACATGCAATTTCTTACTTAGTTGTTCTCACTTCGTTGTTTTAATGCGGGAGAAGAGCTGACCTCTGCTATATTTACTTTGTCGTATAGCTCTTTAAACTGATGCATATTTTTTGACATACACTAGGTTTTTTTTTGGAGACTTTTCCACGTTTTAATAGTTCTGTTTAGGAAACTAAATTTTTTGACATCTTTATTGCCTCATTTTATTTTAGCTTTTTTATTTGTCATCTCGTCCTTCTTGTGTTCAAGATTATAAAGTCATCTTTGTGTAATTTAATTTTTCATGTAATATAGTTGAACATAATAATCATGTACCCCCTTTTCCTTCTTTCTGTGTGTAATGTGTGTGTGTGCGTGTGTGTGTGTGTGTATGCGTGTATGTGTGTGTGTGTGTTTGTGTGCTCATATATCGCAAAGTGCCTTTGTCTTTTTTTCTTTCTAATTTCGAATTCCCGAACAGAAGTAAACAAGCGCATCATATACAAACATTTTATCTGAATGAAACATAAGCAGAGACACGCAAGGGGAAAAAAAGGTTTAAGGAACGACTCCACCCACGCGGGCGCATCAAAATTCCCAACGTGTTACATTGGCTTGAGGCGAAGACGGCGACTATCCGAGCGAGGGAGTGAGAGAGAGAGAGAGAGAGGGAGAGGAGAGAGAGGAGAGAGAGGGAGGAGGGAAGGGAGGAGAAGAGAGGGGGGGAGAGAGAGGGGGGGGAGGGAGAGGGGAGGAGAAGAGAGAGAGAGGGGGGAGAGGGGAGGAGAAAGAGAGAGAGAGAGAGAGGGGGGGGGAGAGGAGTGGAGAGAGAGAGTGAGAGGAAAGAGACAGGGGTGAGGAGAGGGAGAGAGAGAAGAGAGTGAAAGGAGAGAGAGAGAGAGAGAGAGAGATGGATAGGGGTAAACATAAGATGAA